AAACGAAATTTGAAAATTCAAAAAAATTTAATTAAAAAAAAGATGAATTTAAATTACGAAAAATTAATAGACCTAACTGAAAATAAAAAAATATCAAAATCAAAAAATAAAAAATTGAAAAGTTCCAGAATTTAAAATCGAAAAATTGACAAATCGAAGAAGCGAAAAATTGCAAAATTATAAAGCTGACAAATTAAAAGTCTGAAAACTTGAAAAATTAAATTCCTAATTTGAGAAATGAAAAAATTAAAAAGAAAGAAAAATTAAAATATCAGAAAATCAAAAATTTAAAATTCTAAAAATTGTGAAATCAAAATATTAACAATTTAAAAATTTTAAAATCGAAAAAGTCAAAAATACAAAAATTCGGAAAATCGAAGAATTTAAATCTGAACACAAAAAAATTGAAGAAATGAAAACTGAAATATCTGAAAATTGAACATTCCAATTATTGAAAAATTAACAATCTAATTAATATTAAGAAATTGCGTTCGCAGAATTTAAGAAACAACATCTCAAACATTGAAAAATTCGAAAGTTGGAAGATCGAAAAATTTCATTTTGAAAACTCAAAACAGAAACGAAAATTTATGTAACAAACAATAAATTTCTGAAAATTCAAAAATCGAAAAATTGACATCTGAGAAGCTAAAAACTGGAAAATTATAACAATTGGAAAATCAAAATTTTGAAAAATTTAAAATTCTAATTCGTTAAAGAAACGAAATTTCAAAAATCAAAAAATTGAAGAAACGAAAATACGAAAAATTAGTGTATTTATGTATCTCACTGAAAATGGAAAAGTTCCATATGAAAAATCGAAAATTCAAAATATCGAAAAGTACAAAACCAAAAAATTGAAAAATCAAAACGTTTAGAAATCCACAAATTTTAAATTCGGAAAATTCCAAAGTCGGAAAATTGGAAAATTAAAATTTGAAAAAACCAAAAGTTAAAAATTTTCGTGAAAATGGAAAATTTTTAAATTACCAAAATATTGAGAAATTAAAAATTTTAAAATGGAAAAAGTGAAAAATTCGAAATTTGGAAAATCGAAGAATTTAAATCTGAAAACTAAAATATAAAAAAAATGTATTTTTTTTTTAATTAACAATTCCGATATATTACTTTATCCAAGAAAATAAAAGATTTTTTGAGAATGTATTTATTATTTATGTATTTGTAAATTCAAGAATAAAAAAATTTTGAAATTAAATTAAAATCTAAAAATTCCAAAATCTATAATTGAAGAAACGGAATTTCAAAATTCGAAACAATGAAATATTGAAAAGTTTGAAAATCGAAAAATTTAAGGTTGGAAACAAAAAATTGAGACCAAAAATCGGATTATTAAAAAAAAAGAAAAATTAAAATGGCTATCTGAAAATTGAAAAATTTTTTTCGAATTTTTTTCAAATCAACGGGCAGTTTTTACAATAGTGCTTTTTTGTGGGATTTGTAAAAAAACTGGAAATTTTCCAAAAATGACACAATCTCAGACTTCAAAACAATTTAAGGAGCACTAAATTTTTGAGAACACTAAGATTAAAAAAAAAAATAATAATAGTGATTCTATTCGTGTTAAAATTCGGTTTTTATTTATTGAAATTTCAATGTAAAGTTCACTGTTTCCTGAATTTTCATATGCATTTACTTAAATGTGCATTTTTGGATTTTTTAGTTTTTCGTTGCAATTTTTCAACCAGTATTTTTATATTTTTCAATTTTTGAATTGTCGATTTTGATCTTCCCACATCAATCGCAATTTTTCAAAATTTCAGTTCGAATAAATTTGTCATTGGTTGATAAAGTGAAAAAATAAAAATCAAAAAATTGTGAAATTAAATAATCGAGAAACTGAACATTAAAAAATGAGAAACTGAAAAACAAAATGGAAAAATTGCGAAGTTGTGAAGCTGCAAAATCAAAAATTGTATATTGTAAATGGAAAATTTTCCGAAAAATTGCAAAACCAAAATCGTAAAACTAAAAAATCGAAAAATACCGAAGCAAAATCGAAAATCTACGAAGTTTGGAAATTGAGAAATTAAAAAACTGTACAATAGGAAAATTGAGAAACAAAAATTGAAAAATTTAAAATTTTTATTGTTGCAAAATGGTGAAACTGAAAAATCAAAAAATTCAACACTGAAAAATAGAAAAATTGCAAAATGGAAAAATGAAAAAACTGAAAATTCAAAAATTGAAAAATTTGCAAATCGAAGTAACGAAAAATTTCCAAAATTATAAAACTGAACAATCAAAAGTTTGAAAAATGAAAATACTAATTTGAAAAATCAAAAGATTTTAAGATCCAAATATTTTAAATTCGAAAAATTTTAATGTAATGAATTGAAAGTACGAAAAATTAATATACCTAACTGAAAACAGAAAAATATCAATATCGCAAAATTGAGAAATTTAAAATTCAAAATCGTAAAATTAAAGAAACAAAAATTCAAAAATCGAACTCCAAAGTTTAAGAAAATCGAAAATTTAAATTTGAAACTCAAAAAATTGAAAAAACGAAAAATTAAAATATCTGAAAATTGAAAAATTAAAATATTTACCAATTAAAGTTTTAAAATCGAAAAAGTTAAAATTCAAAATTCAGAAAATCGAAAAATTTGAACTTGAATATAAAAAAAGTGAAGAAATGAAAAACTGAAATATCTTAAATTCCAATAATTGAAAAATTAAAAATCTAAGTATTGAAAAATTGCATTCACAAAATTAAAGAAACCAAATTTCAAAAACTGAAAAATTCGAAATTTGAAAGTTCGAAGAATTTAATTTTAAAAAGAAACGAAAACTGAAATAACAAAAAAAAATATTTGAAAATTAAAAAAAATTCAAAATTGACACATCTAAGAAGCCAAAAATTGCAAAATTATAAAATTAAAAAATCAAAAATTTCAAGAATTGAAAAATTTTTAAATTCGAAAAATCGAAAAAATTTAAATTCTAAATTTGCAAATACATATGTAGTAAAATTAAAGTATCGAAAAATTAAAATATCGGAAATACAAAATCTAAAAAATCAAAAAATCAGCATTTAGAAATCCAAAAATTTTAAATTGGGAAAATTCCAAAATCGTAAATTTAAAGAAACGAAATTTCAAAAATCAAAAAATTCAAAAGTTAAAATCTCGAAAAATGGAAGAAACGAAAAATTATGTATGTATGTATCTCACTGAAAATAAAAAAGTTGCAAAATCGTAAAATTATCGATACGAAATTAAAAAACTGGAAAAGTTCAAGTTGGAAAATCAAAAAATTAAAGTTTGAAACTTTGAAAAGTGCAAAATCGAAAAATGAAAAAACCAAAAATTAAATATTTTCCTGAAAACTCAAAAATTAAAAATTCTAAATATTGAAAAATCTAAATATTTACAAATTAAACATTTTTAAATTGAAAAAGTGGAAAATTCAAAATTCGGAAAATCCAAAACTAATTTAAAAACAAAAAAAAAATGAAGAAATGAAAAACTGAATTCTCTGAAAATTGAACAATCCAATATTTGAAAAATTAAAAATCTAAATATGTACTGAAAAATTGTATTCGCACAAAGAATTAAGGAAACTAAATTTTGAAAACTCAAAAAAGAATCGAAAATTGAAATAACAAAAAGTAAATATCCAAAAATAGAAAAATTGACAAATCTAAGGTAAAAGAAGAAGCTAAAAACTGCAAAATTATAAAACTCGAAAGTCAAAAATTTTCGAAATCTTAAAATTAAAATATGGAAAAATCGGAAATTCAGAATATGGCAAAATTCCAAAATCATGAAATTAAAGAAACGAAATTTCAAAAGTCATGTTTCAAATTGGAGAATGGAAAAATTAAAAATGTTGCTGGTAAGCGAAAAGTTTAATTCTAATTTTAGTTCTAAAAATTGAAAAACGAAAATAATTAGAAATAAAAAAATTTAAAATCGAAAAAGTAAAAAATTTTGAAAATTAAAAAATTAAAAAAAATGTATATTTTTTAGATTGTCAATTCCGATCCATTACTTTATGTCTAAGAAATAGAGAATTTATTTACTACATAGTTATAAATTCGAAAATCAAAAAATTTAGAAATTTAAACATTTAAAAGTCAAAAAATTCGAAAATCTTAAATTGAAGAAACGGAATTTCGAAATTCGAAACAGTGAAAAATTCAAAAGTTGGAAAATCAAGAAAGTTAAATTTGAAAACAAAAAGTTGACACCAAAAATCGAAATATTGAAAAAACGAAAACTTAAAATTGGTGTTTGAAAATTGAAGAATTGCAAAAATGTAAATTCGAAAAATCAAAAATTTTATAAATCGAAAAATGTAACATGAAAAATAATAGAATTTTACATTCTAATTTCAGAAATTGAAAAGTTGTAAAATCATAAAATTATAAAGAAACAAAATTTCAAAAAGGGAAAAATTTAAAAGTCGAAAAATGAAAAATTAAAATATGAGAAAATTAAAAAATGGAAAAATTGCAAATTTTAAAATCGAAATATTAAAAGAAAGAAAATGCTAGAAACTTCAAAACGGTAAAATTGAAAAATCAAAAAATTTAGGCATACAAAAATTTTAAAATCAAAAAATTGCAAAATCGTAAAATTAAGGGAACGAAATTTCAAAAATTGAAAAATCAAAAAATTTAGAAATACAAAAATTTTAAACTCAAAAAATTGCAAAATCGTAAAATGAAGGGAACGAAATTTCAAAAATCGAAATATTTAAATATCTGAAAATTAAAAAATCAAAATTTAGAAACATTAAAACTTTAAATTTGAACAGTAATTGCAAAAGCTTTTCTTTAAAAAGAGGACGAAAATTTCGAAAATTGAAAAATTAAAAAAAAATTAAGAAATGATAAATAAAAAAATCGAATAATTGAAAAAACGCGAAATTAATAAATCTGAAAATTAAGAAATCGAAAAATTGAAATTTTCAAGATAGAGATAGAGTGTTCAGTCGCTCCATTTAACTTTTTTATTTTTGAAATTACGTTTTACCTCCGCTTGCAGCGCGATGTGTTCTTCCGCCAGATTTTCAGTTCTGATCTTCATATCTTGGATTTCCTTCTCTTTCTCCTCCATATCCCTATCATACTTTTCCATCCACTTCTCAATGTCCTCTTGGTACTCGGTCAGGGACCCCTCCAGAAACATCCACATTTCATCGTGCACGCGATTCTCTTTATCAATCTCCACGTTCATATCGAACGCGGTCCCCGAGTACTCTTTTTCGTTCCTATCCAAAACAATCTTATTCTGCTCGTGCCTCGCCTTCTCCCAATCCGTCACGTACCCAATTTTAATCGTGTTTTCCAAAATATTATCCTGAAACAAATTGCAATCACCCAGAAGCACCACAACCCCGCCTCACATTCAGCTCGTCCTTGACGTTCCCCAGCCTCTCCGTGAGGTCCTGGATCATCCTCGTCATGTCCTTCCGCTCCGACTCCATATACAGCCGCAGCTTGCCTAGCTCGCGCTGGTTGAACTCCTTGGACGCCAACAGAGTCGTCTCCTCCTCCCTGGTCAAAGCGTCGTCGGCGAGGATCTTCTCCAGGTCGTCGAAGTAGAAGTCGTTCTCCAGGTTGGTCACGACAATGTTGAACACCTGCTCCAGCCACGTGAGATCCCTGCTGAACTTCCGGAAGGCGAGGAATTTCTTGTCCGTGCTGACGTGCCTCTCCACGTTGAACTCCACCGCGGAGTACTTCTCAGTCAGAGGCACGAAGTCGACGTCCACATGAGCCTGGGGTATTTGATTGATTTCGCGCATGATGATGATCTCGTGGAGGGCGTCCTGCATGACGGAGATGGCCACCGTGGCCATCAGCTTCGAGAAGAACTTGGTCCTCTGGCGGACTTGCGTGGGTGCCTGGACCGTGGCGTGGCGGAGTCTTTCGTTGATGTTTTCCCGGAATTCCAGGTCGTCGTCGTCGTCGTCTTTGGGTCTGCCGAACTGGACTTGTCTGTCGCCTGCTGAAATAGGGAGGTGGAGTGAAGGGCGATGGTTGTGGGAGTTTGTTACCATCCATGATGGAGGGGGCTTGGGTGTGTCGGAATTTTTAGACGTGCTGGTTTACATGTGAATTTTACGAAAAAAAAAAATTAACGATGCGTTTATAACCGACGCGGAGCTAACGAACCGACCGAATTGAAGAATTATTAATGTCGACCAGACATTTGTTTAGTGGTTGCCTAGCAACGTTAAGTCGATCGCGCATTGATTGTCGATAATGAAGATGCGACCAGAAATACATTTTCAAGACTCTCTTTGATATTTTTTTGTTTATATTTTTGTCTATAAATTTCTTAGTATTTTTCCGTTTCCGTCGGTCTGTCTGTGCGTCTGTCCGTCTGTCTGCTGTCCCGGATTTTTATGTATTAAATAACAAAGTCTTACACATGGAGTTTATGAATCCGTGTTGAGTTTTTACCCGAAACGTCCAGTTTTTTGGACAAAAAAATAAAATTATATGAAACAACACTTTGCAATTTAATTTTGGATCTGCAAAACCGAATGCTTTGAGATCTTGGAGATGCTTTAAAGTTGTCATAGGCATGGTAAATTTTTGAATGTTTGCTTATCCTCCCCCTAAAAAGATGATGACGTCACTTCAAAATCCTATCTTGAATGTGCAAAAATATAATGAGTCGATACTTGTGATTTATCACTGTGTGATAACCCAAACATCCCAACATTTTACAATACATATTCCTTTTTTTTATTTTTCACTTTTTCGAATTTTAAGTTTTTCAATTTTTATTCTTTCGATTTTTCAAATTTCCGTTTGTTCATTTCCTTTATGTTCTGTGTTCTTTTTTCGATTTTTCAATTTTTCATTTGTTCAAATTTTCAGACTTTGAATTTTCAGTACGTCCATGTTTCAATTTTTAAATTTCTCACTTTGCAGTTTTTGGATTTCCAGTCTTCCGATTTTCCAATTTCTTTAATTTGAAATATTTCTATTTCATAATACATATTTCTTTTTTTTTATTTTTCAGTTTTTCGATTCTTAAGATTTTCATTTTGTAATTTTTCGTTTTTTATTTTTGATTTTTCAATTTTTCAATATATCGACTTCAATTTTTCGTTCCTTCAATTTTTCGGTTTGCATCAGTTTTTCAATTTGGCAATTTTTCAGTATTACAGATTTTCATTTTTCGATTTTTCAGTCTCTCAATTTTTCATTTTTCCCTTTTCCAATTTTTTGTTTCCGATTTTCATTTTTCATTTTCCCGATTTTTTAATTCTCACTTTTTCGATTTTATATCACAATTTTCCTTTTTTTGATTTCCTTTATTTTTTGTTGTTTCTTTTAATAAATTTTTCAAATTCTCGGGTTTTTAGCAATTTTTCTTCAAATTTTCAAGTTTGATTTTCACTTTGTACATTTTTTAGGCTTTAATTATACGCTTTTTCGTTTTTATTTTACAATTTGTTGACTTCCAAATTTTCCAATTTTTCAATATTACAATTTCTCATTTTTCCATTTTTCACATTCTCGATTTTTAATTGTGCCCTTTTTCAATTTTCCGTCCCCTCAATTTTTCAACCCCCCGATTTTTATTTTGCATTTTCCTGTTTTTTTATTTTTCATTTTCTCGATTTTATATAGCAATTTTTTGTTTTTTCATTTCCTCAATTTTTGTTGTTTCTTTCGATTTTCCAATTTTTCGTTTATTCAATTTTTCAAATTTTCAGGCTAATCGATTCCAATTCGTCGATTTTCCACTTTTTAAATTTTTCAATTTCCAGTTTTTGGGTTTCCACCCCTCTTGTACTTTCTGGATTTTCAAATTTTCGACAGTTTTATACTTCGATTTCTGTTTTTTTTTCAACTTTTCGATGTTTTAATTTTTCTTTTTTAAAATTTTTCATTTTTTTTATTTCTCGATTTATCGAATTCAGATGTTTGGATGTTTTGATTGCTGAATTTCTCAATTTATCAGTTTCACAATTTTTTTCTATTTCTAGATGTTTCGATTTTTGGATTTCTCGGTTTTTCGATTTTCCAATTTTTCGATATTTCGATTTTTCTGTTATCCGATTTTTCATTTTTTTTAAATTCTGGAGTTTCGATTTGTCGATTTTTCAGTTTCTCAATTTTTCGTTTCCACAATTTTTCATGTTCCCGATTTTTATTTTTCAGTGTGGCGAATTTTTAATTTTTATTTTTTTGATTTATTTCACAATTGTCCGTTTCTTCATTTCTTTATGTTCTGTGTTTTTTTTTCGATTTTTCAATTTTTCATTTGTTCAATTTTTCAAATTTTAAGACTTTGAATTTTCAGTTCGTCCATGTTTCAATTTTTAAATTTTTCACTTTGCAGTTTTTGGATTTCCAGTCTTCCGATTTTCCAATTTCTTTAATTTGAAATATTTCTGTTTCATAATACATATTTCTTTTTTTTATTTTTCAGTTTTTCGATTCTTAAGATTTTCATTTTGTAATTTTTCGTTTTTTATTTTTGATTTTTCAATTTTTCAATATCTCGACTTCAATTTTTCGTTCCTTCAATTTTTCGGTTTGCATCAGTTTTTCAATTTGGCAAATTTTCATTTTTCCCTTTTCCAATTTTTTGTTTCCGATTTTCATTTTTCATTTTCCCGATTTTTTAATTCTCACTTTTTCGATTTTATATCACAATTTTCCTTTTTTTGATTTCCTTTATTTTTGTTGTTTCTTTTAATAAATTTTTCAAATTCTCAGGTTTTTAGCAATATTTCTTCAAATTTTCAAATTTGATTTTCACTTTGTACATTGTTTAGGTTTTAATAATACGCTTTTTCGTTTTTATTTTACAATTTGTTGACTTCCAAATTTTCCAATTTTTCAATATTACTATTTCTCATTTTTCCATTTTTCACATTCTCGATTTTTAATTGTGCCCTTTTTCAATTTTCCGTCCCCTCAATGTTTCAACTCCCCGATTTTTATTTAGCATTTTCCTGATTTTTTATTTTTCATTTTCTCGATTTTATATAGCAATTTTTTGTTTTTTCATTTCCTCAATTTTTGTTGTTTCTTTCGATTTTCCAATTTTTCGTTTATTCAATTTTTCAAATTTTCAGGCCAATCGATTCCAATTCGTCGATTTTCCACTTTTTAAATTTTTCAGTTTGCAGTTTTTGGGTTTCCACCCCTCTTGTACTTTCTGGATTTTCAAATTTTCGACAGTTTTATACTTCGATTTCTTTTTTTTTTCAACTTTTCGATGTTTTAATTTTTCTTTTTTAAAATTTTTCATTTTTTTTATTTCTCGATTTATCGAATTCAGATGTTTGGATGTTTTGATTGCTGAATTTCTCAATTTATCAGTTTCACAATTTTTTTCTATTTCTCGATGTTTCGATTTTTGGATTTCTCGGTTTTTCGATTTTCCAATTTTTTGATGTTTCGATTTTTCAGTTATCCGATTTTTCAATTTTTTTAAATTCTGGAGTTTCGATTTGTTGATTTTTCAGTTTCTCAATTTTTCGTTTCCACAATTTTTCATGTTCCCGATTTTTATTTTTCAGTGTGGCGAATTTTTTATTTTTATTTTTTTGATTTATTTCACAATTGTCCGTTTCTTCATTTCTTTATGTTCTGTGTTTTTTTTTTCGATTTTTCAATTTTTCATTTGTTCAATTTTTCAAATTTTCAAGCTTTGATTTTTCAGTTCGTCCATTTTTCAATTTTTAAATTTTTCACTTTGCAGTTTTTGGATTTCCAGTCTTCCGATTTTCCAATTTCTTTAATTTTAAATATTTCTATTTCATAACACATATTTCTTTTTTTTTAATTTTTCACTTTTTCGATTCTTAAGATTTTTTAAGTTTTCGTTTTGTAATTTTTCGTTTTTGATTTCTGATTTTTCAATTTTGCAATTTCTCGACTTCCAAAATTTTCCAATTTTTCAATATTACAATTTCTCATTTTTCTATTTTTCACATTCTCGATTTTTAATTGTGCCCTTTGTCAATTTTCCGTCCCCTACATTTTTCAACTCCCCGATTTTTATTATGCATTTTCCTGATTTTTTATTTTTCATTTTCTCGATTTTACATCACAATTTTTTGTTTTTTCATTTCCTTAATTTTAGTTGTTTCTTTCGATTTTCCAATTTTTTGTTTCTTCAATTTTTCGAATTTTCAGTTTCTCAATTTTTCGTTTCCACAATTTTTCATGTTCCCGATTTTTATTTTTCAGTGTGGCGAATTTTTTATTTTTATTTTTTTAATTTATATCACAATTGTCCGTTTCTTCATTTCCTCTATGTTCTGTGTTTTTTTTTCGATTTTACAATTTTTCATTTGTTCAATTTTTCAAATTTTCAGTTCGTCCATTTTTTAATTTTTAAATTTTTCACTTTGCAGTTTTTGGATTTCCAGTCTTCCGATTTTCCAATTTCTTTAATTTTAAATATTTCTATTTCATAACACATATTTCTTTTTTTTTAATTTTTCACTTTTTCGATTCTTAAGATTTTTTAAGTTTTCGTTTTGTAATTTTTCGTTTTTGATTTCTGATTTTTCAATTTTGCAATTTCTCGACTTCCAAAATTTTCCAATTTTTCAATATTACAATTTCTCATTTTTCTATTTTTCACATTCTCGATTTTTAATTGTGCCCTTTGTCAATTTTCCGTCCCCTACATTTTTCAACTCCCCGATTTTTATTATGCATTTTCCTGATTTTTTATTTTTCATTTTCTCGATTTTACATCACAATTTTTTGTTTTTTCATTTCCTTAATTTTAGTTGTTTCTTTCGATTTTCCAATTTTTTGTTTCTTCAATTTTTCGAATTTTCAGTTTCTCAATTTTTCGTTTCCACAATTTTTCATGTTCCCGATTTTTATTTTTCAGTGTGGCGAATTTTTAATTTTTATTTTTTTAATTTATATCACAATTGTCCGTTTCTTCATTTCCTCTATGTTCTGTGTTTTTTTTTCGATTTTACAATTTTTCATTTGTTCAATTTTTCAAATTTTCAGTTCGTCCATTTTTTAATTTTTAAATTTTTCACTTTGCAGTTTTTGGATTTCCAGTCTTTCGATTTTCCAATTTCTTTAATTTTAAATATTTCTATTTCATAATACATATTTCTTTTTTTTGATTTTTCAATTTTTCGATTCTTAAGATTTTTCAAGTTTTCATTTCGTAATTTTTCTTTTTTTAATTTTGATTTTTCAATTTTACAATTTCTCGACTTCCAAAATTTTCAATTTTTCGTTCCTTCAGTTTTTCGGTTTGCATCAGTTTTTCAATTTGGCAATTTTTCAATATTACAGATTTTCATTTTTCGATTTTTCAGTGTCTCAATTTTTCATTTTTCCCTTTTCCAATTTTTTGTTTCCGATTTTCATTTTTCATTTTCCCGATTTTTTAATTTTCACTTTTTCGATTTTATGTCACAATTTTCCTTTTTTTGATTTCCTTTATTTTTTGTTTCTTTCGATTTTACAATTTTTCCTTTAATAAATTTTTCAAATTTTCAGGTTTTTAGCAATTTTTCTTCAAATTTTCATTTTTTATTTCCACTTTGTACATTTTTTAAGTTTTTATTATACACTTTTTCGTTTTTTTATTTTTGATTTTTCAATATTACAATTTGTCGACTTCCAAATTTTCCAATTTTTCAATATTACAATTTCTCATTTTTCCATTTTTCACATTCTCGATTTTTAATTGTGCCCTTTTTCAATTTTCCTGATTTTTTATTTTTCATTTTCTCGATTTTACATCACAATTTTTTGTTTTTTCATTTCCTTAATTTTTGTTGTTTCTTTCGATTTTCCAATTTTTCGTATATTCAGTTTTTCAAATTTTCAGGCCAATCGATTCCAATTCGTCGATTTTCCAATTTTTAAATTTTTCAGTTTGCAGTTTTTGGGTTTCCACCACTTTTTTACTTTTTGGATTTTCAATTTTTCGTTAAACTTTAGATTTCTCAAATTTTCGACAGTTTTTACTTCCATTTCTTAATTTTTTTTTTTTAAATTTTTTCAATTTTTTTTATTTCTCGATTTATCGAATTCAGATGTTTGGATGTCCTGATTGCTGAATTTCTCAATTTATCAATTTCACAATTTTTTTCTATTTCTCGATGTTCGATTTTTGGATTTCTCGGTTTTTCGATTTTCTAATTTTTCGATGTTTCGATTTTTCAGTTATTCGATGTTTCAATTTATTTAAATTCTGGAGTTTCGATTTGTCGATTTTTCAATTTTTCGATTTTTAAGTTTCAGATTTTCGAATTTTTCTTTTTTGATTCTTTGATGTTTGGATTTCTCCATTTTTCAATTTTGCGATATTTGAATTGTTCAATGTTTTAAATTTTAGATTTTTCGATTTTCCAGTTCTTCAGTATTTCTATTTTACAATTTTTCAAATTTTGACATTGCTAAATTTTCAGTTTTCCGATTTTTCGATTAATACATTTTTTTTTATTTTACCGTTGCTCGAATTCCCAGTTTCGATTTTTCAGTTCTTCAATTCTTCAGTTTTTCGTTTTTTAAACCTTAGATTTTTCAATTTTCGACTGTATTATATATATTTCGATTTGTGAATTTTCCGATTTTTCAATTTTCCAATTTTTTAAAATGTTCAAGTTTTGAAGTTTCTCAATTTTCAGTTTTCCGATTTCTCAATTAATCTATTTTTTGGTTTTCCCATTTTCGATTCGCGAAGGTTTCGATTTTTCAGTTTTTCAGTTCCTCAATTTTTCGATTTTTCAGGCTCCAGATTTTTGAAATTTTCAATTTTTCAATGTCCCAATTTTTGGATATTTCGTTCAATTTTGTGAGTTTTCTCAGTTTTTCGATTCTTCAAGTTTTCAATTTTGGGATTTTTTAGTATTTCGACTTTTGGATTTTTCACGTTCTGGATTTTTCGATTTCTCGACTTTTTACAATTTTTCGTTTTTTGAACTTTCGGTTTTCACAATCTTTCAACTTTTCAATATTTTAAGTTTTCAATTTTAAAAATTTTAAGTTTTTCGATTTTTCTAGTTTTCAGTTCTATACATATTTGAATTTTTCTGTTTTTTTATATAAGTTACTAATAAAAATACTGGGTGTGAGTGAGAATTTAAAAATTTGGCGATTGAAATTCCATTTATCATGGGATTCGCTGTGATCGTCCAACCAAATGGAACCCTACGTTGTGTTTTTGAAAAATGGCGGGATGCGTTCAGATGCAAATGGTGGACCCCAAGGGTGGAAAAGTATCGCTTTTCAGGTCCAAAAAAAAATCTTATTGAACTTTGGACGAAATTTAAATAAAATCGAATTAAACGTGCTGAATCAAAGCAAATATTTGAAAATACACATAGGGGGCGTTGTAGCACGAACGGAGTTTGGGGCTCCTGGTCGGGGCTGTTCTCCTACCCACGACGGTGATTCTATCTATCGCAAGCACTGCCGCCAGCTCGACTAGGAACCGCGCACTCATCTTCTATACAATTTATAAGAATGATATTTCACATAAAGCCGGCTAAATTTATACCTGCGTTATTTTTTTTGTTTTAGATTCATTAATGAGGGAAATTCAAGAAAAAAATTCCTTGATTGTAAGACATAAAAAACAGAAAGAGTCATTAGAGAAAAACTCTCGGGAAAATTTGAAAAACCAATTTTAAAAAATGAAACGCAAAAAGAGGCTAATGCTCGAATTATTTCAAAAACACCATGTGTTTAAAAATAAAAACAAAAAAAAACAAACATAATTACCTTAAAATCACTGGCAAACTGCAGAGCTCGCAGACACAGCACTTCACTCACATCGACGCACTCCGAGGTAGGTGTTCATATTAACAAAAAAAATCAGTTAGAAGCCTGTCATAAATTATCGGTGCTGTTCAAACTCACCTATCGTCAAGTGTTCCACTTTGATTTACAATTTTAAACAAATTGATTTGTTTTTCACAACTTCGTGGTTTTAGGGAGACGCTAACCAAAATCGTAGAAATTTAACAGTGAATATTTTATTTATTTAGAACTAAGTATCACAGCTTGTCTTTCGCCATAAATAATCAATTTAACAATTTTGCAATTTATTATCACACTGTCCCGTCATCCCTTATTAATAGTATGTCGTTTTCTGGCGGAGGCTTTGTATCCACATGTCTAAACCACCAATACAAGCAAAAAGCGGCCACAATGACAACAACTGGGGCCCATCCAAACAAAATATTCCAGGAAAAATGTTTCTCAAAACTTGCCAAGAGTGAAGTCGGCTCGGTTGTAGGAGGCAAAGCTTGTGTCCTAAAAATTATAAAATCATCGTGGTCAGCTGTCTATTCTTATCGAACGCTCCACAATTTTACCGTAACTGTCGAAATAAAAATTGTACTCACGTTATGAATGTTAAGATTAATAAAATGGTCACCATAAAACCGGTAGTTTTCAAAATTTGGGTGCACCGAAGGCGTGGCATGTTTGTATATAAGTGGTTTGACACAGTTTATTTACTATCGTCTGCTTCATGCAGTTAGATAATTTAATCTTATCAGTCGAGATTTTAAATAAAAATTAAAGTTGGCAACTTTGCGATTTCGTTGTCGTTCGTGTAGCAGGGTTACCAACACAGTTTAAATATCCAGTCAACTCTCAAAAGCAACAAATTTTCAAGTTTTGTATTTACAGACGATACAAAATAAATATTTACAGGCAACAGTTAGAAAAATAGAGACAACACACAGAATTATGCAAATTTACAAATAAATACTTGCTCAAATGTACCATCAAACTTACAACGAATCAGTAAAAAATAAAAATATACAGACCCTTTATCAAAAAAAATCACTAATTAAGATCACAATAAGTAAAGGACCTAATATGAACCTCTCCAGACAGCACGACTGAAAATTTCTAAAAATATCACACTTTCTCTTCATTGTTGAATATTAAATTCAACAAGGATAAATCACTATTTACACTGTCATAGTGCGAGTTAATTGACGCATCAACGGCTGCGCTGAGCGCCCTAAATCTTCTTTTTTCTCTTTAGGTTTTGCTCGCATGTTTCTGAAACAACACCACAAACAAAGAGCCGCCAGGCTGGCAAAAAATAGGGCCCATCCGGTGTACTCGTTCCAGGAAACGTGTTTTTGGATTTCCTTCCACCAAACAAAATTTGACGCTGTCGCGTTGAGGTCCAGTTGAGAAGGAAAAATTTGTACTCTAAAAATTAGCAGTGGACCATAATTGTTTAAAAATGTAAAAATTGTTTACTTACATTAGGACTATTATTATTAATAAAACTATTGCCATGGTACTGATTATCTGCAAAACTTTGCTGCTTCGTAGACACGCCATTTTGACAACTATATCACATTCATAGTGATTGCAGTGATTGTAATAATTTGTCGTTTTGCTTATCTTATCAACAAGCAACAGGAGAGTAATCAAGTTACTTGAAAATTTGAAAGTGGCGGGGATTTTAAATACTGAAGTAGCGATTTCGTATTTTTTAGAGAAAAAAAACAATGTCTTTCACTTTTAATTTTTATACATATTTACATACTACAAATAAAAATAAATACAATAAATAATCAGAACAAGGAACAGAGATTTCGGAAATTAATCTTTAAATAATAAATTACTTGCTAATATAAGACTTATTCTTCTAAGAAAATAAAGGCTGGGTGGGTGGGGTTAGCACTTGCTAAAAATTAAAAAATTAAAAAAATCAAAAAATGACAAATTGAAAATTCGGATAAATGAGAAATCGGAAAATTCCAAAGTTGAAAAAACGAAAAACTGAAGAATCTAGTAATACTCACTAGGATAAAATAAATATCACAACTTTTAACAGTTTCAAAAAATTAACTATAGAAAGAAGATCTTGTGTCATTTTTGCAAATAGGTGCATGTTTTCAAGTTTAGTTCGGATTGCAGAGAATCTTATAAAATCGAATTCGAAATTCCAGTTTTCATTTTTTTTTTTAGTTTTTAGATTTTTCAACTTTTGAATATTTCATTTGATAATTTTTTTGACAATTTTGCAGTTTTTAATTCCAATCTTTTGATTTTTCAAGTTTTAACTTTACAACTTTTGAGTCTTTTGATTTTTAATTTCTCAAGTTAAAATTTTTCCTTTTCACGATTTGTCATTTTTCGAGTTTTTACCTAAAAGAACAAATTTATTCGAACCGAAATTTTGAAAAATTGAAAATTAGAAACAAAATTTTCAAATACTTTTTACTTCCTTCCAAAAACTCGGTGACAAAAAATCAAAAATCGAAAATTGAAAAAAAAATAAACGTCTATTTTCTCGATGTTTTTGAAAATCAAATAAATGAGAAATTTGAAAACTGCCAAAATTGTAAAATTAAAAAATCAAACGTTTTTTTCAGTTGCCCAGAGAAATCAAAAATCGAAAGACAGATAAAAAAATTGAAAATTTAAAAAGCGAGAAATTGAAAAATTCCAAAGTTGAAAAATCGAAAAACTGAAGAATCTAGTAATACTCACTACGATAAAATAAATATCACAATTTTTAACAGTTTAAAAAAATTAGCTATAGAAAGAAGATCTTGCGTCATTTTTGCAAATAGGTGCATGTTTTCAAGTTTAGTTCGGACTGCAGAGAATCTTATAAAATCGAATTGGAAATTCCAGTTTTCATTTTTTTTTTAGTTTTTAGATTTTTCAACTTTTGAATATTTCATTTGATAATTTTTTTGACAATTTTGCAGTTTTTAATTCCAACCTTTTGATGTTTCAAGTTTTAACTTTACAACTTTTGAATCTTTTGATTTTTAATTTCTCAAGTTAAAATTTTTCCTTTTCACGATTTGTCATTTTTCGAGTTTTTACCTAAAAGAACAAATTTATTCGAACCGAAATTTTGAAAAATTGAAAATTAGAAACAAAATTTTCAAATACTTTTTACTTCCTTCCAAAAACTCGGTGACAAAAAATCAAAAACCGAAAATTAAAAAAAAAAATAAACATCTATTTTCTCGATGTTTTTGAAAATCAAATAAATGAGAAATTTGAAAACTGCCAAAATTGTAAAATTAAAAAATCAAAAGTTTTTTTCAGTTGCCCAGAGAAATCAAAAATCGAAAGACAGATCAAAAAATTGAAAATTTAAAAAGCGAGAAATTGAAAAATTCCAAAGTTGAAAAATCGAAAAACTGAGGAATCTAGTAATACTCACTAGGATAAAATAAATATCACAATTTTTAACAGTTTCAAAAAATTAGCTATAGAAAGAAGATATTGCGTCATTTTTGCAAATAGGTGCATGTTATTAAGTTTAGTTCGGATTGCAGAGAATCTTATAAAATCGAATTCGAAATTCCAGTTTTCATTTTTTTTTTAGTTTTTAGATTTTTCAACTTTTGAATATTTCATTTGATAATTTTTTTGACAATTTTGCAGTTTTTAATTCCAATCTTTTGATTTTTCAAGTTTTAAATTTACAATTTTCGAATCTTTTGATTTTTAATTTCTCAAGTTAAAATTTTTCCTTTTCACGATTTGTAATTTTTCGAGTTTTTACCTAAAAGAACAAATTTATTCGAACCGAAATTTTGAAAAATTGAAAATTAGAAACAAAATTTTCAAATATTTTTTACTTCCTTCCAAAAACTCGGTGACAAAAAATCAAAAATCGAAAATTAAAAAAAAACTAAACATCTATTTTCTCGATGTTTTTGAAAATCAAATAAATGAGAAATTTGAAAACTGCCAAAATTGTAAAATTAAAAAATAAAAAGTTTTTTTCAGTTGCCCAGAGAAATCAAAAATCGAAAGACAGATCAAAAAATTGAAAATTTAAAAAGCGAGAAATTGAAAAATTCCAAAGTTGAAAAATCGAAAAACTGTAGAATCTAGTAATACTCACTAGGATAAAATAAATATCACAACTTTTAACAGTTTCAAAAAATTAGCTATAGAAAGAAGATCTTGCGTCATTTTTGCAAATAGGTGCGTGTTTTCAAGTTTAGTTCGGATTGCAGAGAATCTTATAAAATCGAATTCGAAATTCCAGTTTTCATTTTTTTTTTAGTTTTTAGATTTTTCAACTTTTGAATATTTCATTTGATAATTTTTTTGACAATTTTGCAGTTTTTAATTCCAACCTTTTGATTTTTCAAGTTTTAACTTTACAATTTTTGAATCTTTTGATTTTTAATTTCTCAAGTTAAAATTTTTCCTTTTCACGATTTGTCATTTTTCGAGTTTTTACCTAAAAGAACAAATTTATTCGAACCGAAATTTTGAAAAATTGAAAATTGGAAACAAAATTTTCAAATACTTTTTACTTCCTTCCAAAAACTCGGTGACAAAAAATCAAAAATCGAAAATTAAAAAAAAATAAACATCTATTTTCTCGATGTTTCTGAAAATCAAATAAATGAGAAATTTGAAAACTGCCAAAATTGTAAAATTAAAAAATCGAAAGTTTTTGCAGTTGCCCAGAGAAATCAAAAATCGAAAGACATCAAAAAATTGAAAATTCAAAAAGCGAGAAATTGAAAAATTCGAAAGTTGAAAAATCGAAAAACTGAAGAATCTAGTAATACTCACTACGATAAAATATCACAATTTTTAAAAATTTCAAAAAATTAGCTATAGAAAGAAGATCTTGCGTCATTTTTGCAAATAGGTGCATGTTTTCAAGTTCAGTTCGGATTGCAGAGTTATTGTTCGGATTATATGGGTTATACTATTGATAAAATTGCGTGTGTTGATATCGAACCATCGCAATGAAAATCACACGATTTTTTTAATCCTGATTGTGCTAATTCGAGGTAAACAAGTGATAAACAACAAACATCTTTGTTTATTTATTTATTTGGTTATCTGTACAGGGCCAGACGGGACCTGTTGAAACTTGAAAATTTATCCCGAAATTTTACTCGATTTAAACAGAAATAAAATTTCGATTTGAGCACCCGCGCTCTGCTGTACAATCACGGCTACTGGCACTTCTGGAGAAGTCCCGATTTCCAAATGGCCGAATCCGACTCTGCTCTTGTAAAACTGTAAAGGTATTGAAAAATTAAAAACAAGTTTAACTTGAATTTAACTTACGGCGAATTTTGATAAAAACGACATTTTTTGGTCTATTTTTTCTACCATGAAATTTAAGCATCTAAAATATGAAGAAATATGTCTGTTTGTTCGTCTTCCGTCTGTCGGTCCGTCTGCCTGTCGGTCTGCTAATCTCGGAAAGTACTGGACCGACTGTTGTTAAATTTCTCTATTAATTAGTGTATACAGTAACCTAGTCCTACATAAACAGTAGTTTTTGGCAGATTTTTGTAAAAAAATCAAAATTATAAAACAACATTTTGCAGTTTAATTTTGATTCTGCAAAACCGAATAAATCCTATCTAAAATGTACAAAATATGATGAGTCTGTACTTGTGACGTACCATTCCAAAAATATTTTTTACATTTGCTTAAACAGGTGGCTCAAAAAAATTAACGAATGAGTCAATTTATTTTATTGATTAAATCAGGAATGGCTCACTCCATTTCCCGAAAATTTGGAGATACAACACGGTTATTGTTAGTATTACATTGCACCGACCCAATTTGATAGACACATAGTAAAATAAAAACTCATTTGAAACGTAGGCGTAGCACGCTTATTACAGATGTGCATTTGTTTTGTTGAGCTGACTAGATTCCGCAAATGTGGTATAGACAAGTTATAATCAACCAGTTGTGAATTACACCATCAAAAATTAAAATAGAATCCAATGTTTTATATAATAAGAGGAAGTGAAGGAATAAAAAAGTCTGGACGACCATCGGCATTGTTTGCAGTTTCTCTGTTTGAGTCTCACGTGTTACCACTTGTTGTCTTAAATTAAAAATGCTTGTCATTCATAAAAAATCATTCACATTTAATTTTTACTTATATATATGTACATGGTACAATATAGAATAGATACATTAAAAAATCAGAACAAGGTACAGACATTTGGAAAATTAATCTATAAATAATACATCAAATTCAATCTTATTTGTAGGTAATTAGTTGTTGATGCGACACGCATTGTGGATACATTAAGTTATTAGTTATTACTCTAATAAGAACTCGTTTGAGCAAACATAATCGGTAATAATTAATATTTCTTTTTTTAATATACGCTTACTTTAATACACTTAAGCTTTTTTGTTGTGTACACTAGTGTCTCTCAAAGCCTCACAAACAGTTTATTTGGAGTGGTCAGGAAGGTAAGTCGCGGGTTGACGTCACGGGTACTTTGGATCCGGGTACTCGGTGAACTGTCCGAAAGGATCCTGGCGCACTTATATTTTGCTTTTGATTGCGGGTTGTGCTGGTCATAAGAGCGCCAGCATTGGGTCGACTCTTCTTTCTTCGTTATCCTGCTCCGGAGTAAGTTAACAAAATTAATCCTCGGGCCTCATCTATCCGTTTTTGAACATTTTTGAAATGGCTCCACAAAACACTCGCACCGATCACCGCAAGAATTATACACAGGGCGATGACTCCCCCAAGATGAAGATTGCACTTGAACTCTTTCCAAGTTGTTTGCAAAAGAGTGGCCGGAGAATTTGATTCCAAAATCTGGGCTTCGATTTCTTTTCTGCAACATTAAAATAATTACACCTTTGTTAAAAAAAAACGTAAATTTTAGACACCCTGTACTAACAACCAATTTTTAATAATAATCAAAAAAATGAATATACTTACAGAAGAAACGTTATAAGTATGAAGAACATCGCTGCAATTTGTAACACACGACACTAGAAAATTTTTGGATTTCTTGGTTGTGCTCACAGTGCTAAAGCAAATTTTAAAATATCGTTTGCGCCACGGTTTTATACGTTTTTTTAACTACAACTTGATCCAGAGATATCGATGTGGTGCGATCGACTATTGTGAAATCGAATGATTTTTTATCATAATATTTTATACTACTATTAATTACAGGTGACGATATCAACTTGGTTTATTTACTAAATCGGATGGTTTTTTTTAATCACGTGTTCCAACTAATAAGAATCACCAGTGTGAATACTTGAATCTTATTGGCGAGTATACACGGAGTTTAAGGTTCTAAAATTTCAGTTGTTTCGATGTTTGCGTTTTAAACATCACGCGATTTTTTTTATCCTGATCCGAGGTGAGGTAAACAAGTGATAAACAACAAAATGCGTTGTTTATTTATTTATTGTTTATGGGTTGTATTGCCAGTTAAGCGCTAGACTTAAATATTTTAAAGCTCTTGTGGGTACAAGGCCAGACGGGACCTGTTGAAACTTGAAAATTTAACCCTAATTTTAGTTGATTTAAAAATATATCAAATTTGGATTTGAGCACCCATATGCCGCTGTACAATCACGGCTACTGGCACCTCTGGAGAATTCCCGATTTCCAGATGGCCGAATCCGCGCCTGCTCTTGTAAAACTGGAAGCGTATTGGAAAATTAAAACAACTTTAACTTGAATTTATTTTATTCTCTTAAACTAGAAAATATCTTCGAAAAAAGTCAATCCTTGTTTTTTTCTAACTGGAATCATAATAAAAACATATTTATTAATTTATTTATTATTTTATTTATTTCAAAAATTCTCGTGGTTGATAAGATAACAGAGAAAACGTGTATAACGTTAGAATAACCCGATAGATGGAGTCAACATTAAGTTCTAAATGGTCCCTATTTTTTGGGGTCTCTATTTTTGAAATAATAGTATATTAAAAGGTGTGTGGTGATAGTAACTTAGGCATGTTTTAAGTTTCTTGTTGTCTAAATAAGTCTACACATACTAAGAAAGAAAAAAAAACAAAATGTAGCCCCGCCCACCCACCCTATCTCAATTGTGATGATTTTTTTTATTCGTGGTGAATCAAGAAGGCTAAGCTTAACTGCAAAATCCTTATTTCTCTACGAGAAATTAACAACATGTTTTTGAGTACCGTGTTGTTCAAAGAATACTACGTATATTAAGAAAATAATAAAGCCAAAGATTAAGCCCCACCCATATCCACCCCGATGTCATTTCGCAATTGTGATGAATTGCTCATTCGTTGTCAGATCGAGGGGCGGGGCTTAATTGCAAGATCAATATTTATCTACAAGAATTTACCATTTTAAACATATTTTAAGTTTCTTGTTTTAAAAAGACGACTACGTATATTAAGAAAAGGACAAAATATAAGCCCCGCCCACCCACCCTCATACCGGTAGTAGTCAATACTTTAAAGATGTATTTTAAAGTGGAATAAGTAGGGAAAATCAAGAAAACGTTTATCTTTTCATTGCCTGAGTCGCCCATTATTTTTTCCAAAGATCGGTAAAAATGTAAATCTCGCGGAATACTCCAGTAGCAATAATTAAATTAGTTGTAAAAAATGTACACTTTGACATGCACCACCAATGTGAGATAAAGTGAAAAAATATAAAATACCCAGGGATTATTAATGCATTTTAGACATGTTTTAAGTTTTTTGTTGCCAAAATAAGTCTGCACATTTTAAGAAAAAAAAGGCAAAATGTAGCCCCGCCCACCCACCCTATCTCTATTGTGATGATTTTAACTGCAAAATCCTTATTTCTTTACGAGAATTTAAAAACATGTTTTGGGTATCGTGTTGTTCAAAGAATACGATGTATGTATATTAATAAAAAAAATAAAGCCAAAGTTAGGCCCCACCCATACCCGCCCGGATTTCAATTCTCAATTGTGATGAAGTTTTCATTCGTTGTCAGATCGAGAGGCGGGCATTAATTGCAAGATCCATATTTCTCTACAAGAATTTACCATTTGCTTTAAGTTTCTTGTTCTGAAAAGATGACTACGTATATTAAGAAAATCAAAGCAAAATGCAAGCCCCGCCCACCCGCCCTATCTCAATTGTGGTGATTCTTTTTTTAATCGTCGAGAACCAATTGCATTTTTTTTTCTTAATATACATATTATTCTTTGAACAATACGATACTTATTTTTAATTTCTTGTAAAGAAATAAGTATTTTGTAGGTAAGTTACGTCCCGTTGGTTCACGGCGAATAACAAAATCATCACAATTGAGATAGGGCGGGTGGGCGGGCTTAGACTTTACCTTTTTGTTTTAATATATGTAGACTTCTTTTCACAACAACAAACTTAAAACATGTTTAAAATGAAAAAATTGTATAAGGAAATATCGATTTTGCAATTAGGCTCCGCTCTATAATTGCAAAATTCATATTTCCTTGCAAAAACTATTTTAACCATGTTTTAAGTTTCTTGTTATGAAAAGATGGCTGTGTATATTAAGAAAAAAAAGGCCAAATATAAGCCCGCCCACCCGCCCTGTCGCAATTCTGATGATTTTTTTTATTCATCGTAAGCCGTGGGGCGGAGCTTAATTGTAAAATCCTTATTTTTCTACGAGAAATGTTCTTGAGTAATCATGTTATACAAAGGAAACGAAATGTATTAATTAAAAGAGAAAATAAAAGGGAAGCCCCACCCATACCCGCTCCGATGTCAATTTTCAATTGTGATGAATTTCTCATTCGTTGTCAGATCGAGGGGCGGGGCTTAATTGCAAGATCAATATTTATCTAGAAGAGTTTACCATTTTAAACATGTTTTAAGTTTCTTGTTCTGAAAAGACGACTACGTATATTAAGAAAAAAGACAAAATATAAGCCCCGCCCACCCACCCTCATATTAATAATAATCAATAGTTTAAAAATGTATTTTAAAGTGGAATAAGTAGGGGAAATCAAGAAAACGTTTATCTTTTCATTGGCTGAGTCGCCCATTATTTTTTCCAAAGATCGGGAAAAATGTAAATCTCGCGGAATACTCCAGTAGCAATAATTCAATTAGTTGTAAAACAATGCACACTTTGACTTGCACCACCAATGTGAGATAAAGAAAAAAAATATAAAATACCCAGGGATTATTAATGCATTTTAGACATGTTTTAAGTTTCTTGTTGCCAAAATAAGTCTACACATTTTAAGAAAAAAAAAAAGGCAAAATGTAGCCCCGCCCACCCACGCTGTCTCTATTGTGATGATTTTTTTGTATTCGTCGTGAGCCAAGGAGGCGGAGCTTAACTGCAAAATCCTTATTTCTTTACGAGAGTTTAAAAACATGTTTTTGAGTATCGTGTTGTTCAAAGAATACGATGTATGTATATTAATAAATATTCTTAATATACATAATATTCTTTGAACAACACGATACTCATTTTTAATTTCCTGTAAAGAAATAAGTATTTTGCAGTTAAGCTCCGCCCCCTTGGTTCACGGCGAATAAAAACAATCATCACAATTGCGATAGGGTGGGTGGGCGGGCTTACACTTTGCCTTTTTGTTTTAATATATGTAGACTTCTTTTCACCACATGAAACTTAAAACAACTTTAAAATGCAAAATTTGTACAAGGAAATATCGATTTTGTAATAGGCTCCGCCCCACAATTGCAAAATCCATGTTTCCTTACAAAAACCATTTTAACCATATTTTAAGTTTCTTGTTATGAAAAGATGGCTGTGTATATTAAGAAAAAAAGGCAAAATATAATCCCGCCCACCCGCCCTGTCTCAATTCTGATGATTTTTTTTATTCGTCGTAAGCCTCGGGGCGGAGCTTAATTGGAAAATCCTTATTTTTCTACGAGAAATGAAAACCATGTTTTTAGGTATCGTGTTGTTCGAAGAATACTAAGTATATTAAGAAAAAACAAGCCAAAAATTAAGCCCCACCCATATCCATCCCAAGCTCATTTGTGATGAATTTTTCATTCGTTGTCAGGCCGAGGGGCGAAGCCTAATTGCAAAATCGATACTTTCCTACAAAAATTTACCACCTTAAACATGCTTTACAGCTATTTAAAATATGAGGGGTTTGGTGAACAGGTGATTAAATGGCTTAATATTAGTGGACCTCATTTTCTCTGTCAAAATTTGATTTTCGTGAAATTATTGCTGTCACCCAGAAAAATGTCCCCCCTACTTCCGGAGATTTTCCTTCAAGTTGGCAGCACTGCACACTACCGCAATTTGATTAGTTGAAAACCCAATGTCAACGGCTCGCTTACGCTCGGGAAGTAAAAATAATATAAGATCATACGAGCAATTAATAATTCTAGAATAAATGTTCAAATTCAACTTGTGCGAAAATAAATCGGATGATGACATTAATTTAACTGATAATAATTTTCAAGGTTCTTTCTCTCAAAACGTTTTGTTCGTAAAAGGTAACATCACTTTTACTAAAAACTACAACGATCACATGTTTTGATTGAACTGCAAATCTACCGAACCACTCCTTGAATCGTAGCTCACTCTCTCCTGATTCGAATCGTTGCTTGCAACCTCCTGATTTGAATCATCCGACCGCGGTGTCTGTTTGCTTTGAATGTACTTGTACAAACAGACCATCAAAGTTCCAAAAATAATGGCCGCTGAAATACTCGCTATGACTAACCCAGCGAGTAGGATATTTTTTTTGAATTCGCTCCAGATTTCTTGCGCAGATACCTTGGATGGGTCTTGGGTAGCGAAGACTGGTTGTAGCCTGAAAATAAAATTTTGTTTGAAACGGACTGTAGATGGCGCTATCAACCGAGTAAATACTCTAAGATAACGCTGATAAGAAAAATAAAAAGAGTGTGGCTCTGACGCACTTATGGTAGGTACTTACGTGATAAATATAGCAACTAACACGTTCATCTCATTTTTAACAAGTTTGACGACGTAGATTGTTGCAGATGTTCTGCAAAACAAGCAATTAACTACTGGTAAATAAGAAGCGCTGAAAATGCCAACCTTATCACTTTATCTAAATCGAACCGGTAGATAAGAAACTCTTGACCAATAATGTTCATTGTTCTTATTCATTCTTTATTATAAATAAATAAACTTTTTAAGAACACTTTTTATTGTTATCAAAAACATCCTATTTCAAGAAATATGCAACTGGAGTAGTCTCAGGCGCCGGAGTAGTTGGATTCAACAACCCATCAATTAAATCGTTAATAGACTGGATGGCATCTTCCAGTCCACCTCGAACAATACCTTCCAGGAGATCCAAAACCACACTCTTCAGAAGCGTGGTGACGAGGTCCGCCAGCAAATCCAACAACCAGTCAATCAGATCGTCTCCATGGAACTCCACATGAATATTTCTGTAAAAAAATTACTTCATAATTGTCAAACTTTGGTTGTTGTCGTACTAACCCTGCATGAACAATGTTGAACTCGTCCAAAGACAGAACTAGAGCCACAGGGTCGACACCAATCTTGACTTCCACAGCCAAATCCGTGACTTGACCATCGATGTATCCCGCAGGACCCAAACCCATAATTTTAGCGCTGTAGTCATAAGTGAACTGAAGATCATTAAAACCTATAGGAACAGTGATCTCCAGGAATTTGACATCAGTATCGTAGGTAGCAAGAACGTCTCCGCCACGATGGATGGTGGAAACGTCGGCAAGCCAACCATTGGTCAAATCCAGCTCACCATGGTACGTAATAATCAAAGTCTAAAATTCAACAGTCCGTAAAAAAAATAAACTCGTGATTTTTCACTAACATAGTTAAACGCTTCATGAATGTCGGGCATCTCCAAAGGGTCCAAGCCAGTCTCGACCATCATGGCCCGAAGGTTGGCGAAAATTTGGTCCGCGTAGTCATTCATATTGGCTTCGGTGCCCCGCGGGCTGAAATATTAATCGCAACAATAAAAAAACTACCACGTTTATCTTTTCTTACTTGGGGTGAATTTTCGGTTGAAACTCGCCGGCCTCGAACAGGTTCTGCAGGGTCTTGATTTTGTCGGCATCTAGCTTGTACTTTGTCGGATTTCTGGTGATTTCAAGCTCGTCCACTACCACCTTGAAGTCGTGTTTTCGGACGTGGTAAGCACACACCGACGCGACCAGGCAAATTGCGAAAATCAGTCGTCTCATCTTGAAGTACGTGATTGACGAAGAGATCGCCGGAGTGACCGCTTTTATACCTTTGATACATTTTTATCACTTGATAAGTCCACACCTGCACAGAAACGGATCTTTGTTTTCGTAACGAAGTGGCGAAAACAATTTCGGAATGATTTTAGTTATCTTAGGAGATAAGAGTTTTTTTTTGGTGTAGATTTAACTGACTTTGGAAAATTGGAGACCTGGGGGTGCTTATATAACGTTGGAGACTTTTTTTTTATATATATTCAGAGATGACTTCTTTCTGCAAGGTTATTACCAGTTGATAAAGTTGTTTACAGATAAATAATGAAGTGGCTTTTGATAAAAACAGCTGCTAAAGACCTTGGTGGGCCCCATTTTTCGCACCTGTGTCTTTTTGATATGTGGAGTGCAAGATCATAGATTTTATTTTCTGTGGGCTATTGACTGGGGTTTCATAAATAATATTTAACTTAAGTTTCTTGTTGTGAAAAGAAGACTACGATATTAAGAAAATCAAGGCAAAATGTAAGCCCCGCCCACCCGCCCGGGTCTAAATTGTGATGAATATTTCATTCGTTTTCAAGTCGAAGGGAGGAGCATAATGACAGAATTCATATTTCCGTACAGAAATTTACCATTTTGAACAAGTTTTAAGTTTTTTGTTGTAAAAAGAAGACTGCGATATTAAAAAAATCGTGGCAAAAGGCAAGCCCCGCCCACCCGCCCTATCTCAATCGTAATGAGGGGTTTTATTTGTTGTGAACTGGGGGCGGAGCTTAATTACAAAGTCCTTATTTTTCTACAAGAAATTACCATGTGAAACAAGTTCTTAATTAACTGTGTTGTTCAAGGAAACTACATGTGTTAAGTAAAAACGAAATCCAAAGGTTAAGCTCCACCTAGGCCCGCCCAGATGTAAATTGTGATGAATATTTTATTCGTTTTAAGACCGAGGGGAGGAGCATAATGTCAAAATCCATACTTTCATGCAAAAATTGACCATTTTGAACAAGTTTTTGCATTTTGCCTGGTTTTTCTTAATATTCGTAGTATTCTTTTCACAACAAAAAAATTTAAAACTTGTTCAAGTTGCCAAATTTTTCTAGACAAATATGGATTTTGCAATTACGTTCCGCCCCGCTGTCTGACAACGAATGAAAAAAGTCATGAGAATTGAGATGAAGGTGGGTGGGCGGGACTTATATTTTGCCTTTTTTTAACATACGTAGACTTCTTTTCCCAACAGACAACTGAAATCATGTTTAAAATGCTATATTCGTGAATTTTTGTACGAGTAGAGAAGTATGGATTTTGCAAATAAGCTCCGCCCCTAGAAAAGAAGACTACGATATTGAGAAAATCAAGGCAAAATGCAAGCCCCGCCCACCCACCCGGGTCTAAATTGTGATGAATATTTCATTCGTTGTTAGATCGAGGGGCGGGGCTTAATTGCAAGATCCACATTTCTCTACAAGAATTTACCATTTGCTTTAAGTTTCTTGTTCTGAAAAGATGACTAAGTTTATTAAGAAAATCAAAGCAAAATGCAAGCCCTGTCCACCCGCCCTATCTCAATTGTGATGATTCTTTTTTTAATCGTCGAGAACCAAAGGGGCGGAATTTAAATGCCAAAACCTTATTATTTCTGTACCAAAAATTTCCATGTAAGACATGTTTTTCAGTATCGTGTTATTCAAAAAATACTATGTATATTAAGAAAAAACAACGCCCAAAGTATAAGCCCCACTCATACCTGCCCTGATCTAAATAGTAATGAAGTTTTCATTCGTTGGTAGACCTCCGGGCGGAGCCTGATTGCAAAATCCATATTTTCTTACAAAAATTGACCTTTTTAAACGTGTTTTAGGTTTCTAAAAAAAAAAACATTACAACTGGGATAGGGTGGGCGGGCGGGGTTTATATTTTGCCTTTTTTTTCTTAATTTGTACATAGTACAGTTTGAACAACACGACACTCATTATTAACTTCTTGTAAACAAATAATTATTTTGCAGTTAAGCTTCGTCCCTTTGGTTTACGGCGAATAAAAAAAATCATCACAATTGAGATAGGGTGGGTGGGCGGGCTTACATTTTACTTTTTGTTTTAATATGGGTAGATTTCTTGCCACAACATGAAACTTAAAACATGTTTAAAATGGAAAATTTGTTTACGGAAATATCGATTTTGCAATAGGCTCCGCCCCACAATTGCAAAATCCATGTTTCCTTACAAAAATCATTTTAACCATGTTTTAAGTTTCTTGTTATGAAAAGATGGCTGTGTATATTAAGGAAAAAAGGCAAAATATAACCCCCGCCCACCCACCCTGTCTCGATTCGGATGATCTTTTTATTCATCGTAAGCCGAGGGGCGGAACTTAATTATAAAATCCTTATTTTTCTACGAGAAACGACCATGTGAAATATGTTCCTAAGTAATCATGTTATACAAAGAAAACCAAAGGGAAACTCCAAATTTATCAATTTAAACATGTTTTAAGTATCTTATTGTGAAAAAATAAATACATATATTAAGAAAAAAAAAGGCCCGCTTACGCTGGGGAAGTAAAAATAATATAATATCATACGAGCAATTAATAATTCGAGAATAAATGTTCAAATTCAACTTGTGCGAAAATAAATCGGATGATGACATTAATTTAACTGATAATAATTTTCAAGGTTTTCAGATCCGTGGGGAGGAGCATAATGTCAAAATCCATACTTTCATGCAAAAATTGACCATTTTGAACAAGTTTTTGCATTTTGCCTGGTTTTTCTTAATATTCGTAGTATTCTTTTCACAACAAAAAAACTTAAAACTTGTTCAAATTGCCAAATTTTTGTAGACAAATATGGATTTTTCAATTACGCTCTGCCCCTCTGTCTGACAACGAATGAAAAAAATCATCAGAATTGAGATGAGGGTGGGTGGGCGGTACTTATATTTTACCTTTTTTTTAATATACGTAGTCTTCTTTTCCGAACAGACAACTGAAATCATGTTTAAAATGGTATATTCATGAATTTTTGTACGAGTAGAGAAGTATGGATTTTGCAAATAAGCTCCGCCCTTAGAAAAGAAGACTACGATATTGAGAAAATCAAGGCAAAATGCAAGCCCCGCCCACCCATCCGGGTCTAAATTGTGATGAATATCTCATTCGTTGTTAGATCGAGGGGCGGGGCTTAATTGCAAGATCCATATTTCTCTACAAGAATTTACCATTTGCTTTAAGTTTCTTGTTCTGAAAAGATGACTACGTTTATTAAGAAAATCAAAGCAAAAGTAAGCCCCGCCCACCCGCCCTATCTCAATTGTGGTGATTCTTTTTTTAATCGTCGAGAACCAAAGGGGCGGAATTTAAATGCCAAATCCTTACTATTTCTGTACCAAAAATTTTCATGTAAAACATGTTTTTCAGTATCGTGTTATTCAAAAAATACTATGTATATTAACAAAAAACAACGCCCAAAGTATAAGCCCCACCCATACTTGCCCTGATCTAAATAGTAATGAAGTTTTCATTCGTTGGTAGACCTCCGGGCGGACCCTGATTGCAAAATCCATATTTTCTTACAAAAATTGACCTTTTTAAACGTGTTTTAGGTTTCTAAAAAAAAAAACATCACAACTGGGATAGGGTGGGCGGGCGGGGTTTATATTTTGCCTTTTTTTTCTTAATTTGTACATAGTACAGTTTGAACAACACGACACTCATTATTAACTTCTTGTAAACAAATAATTATTTTGCAGTTAAGATTCGTCCCTTTGGTTTACGGCGAATAAAAAAAATCATCACAATTGAGACAGGGTGGGTGGGCGGGCTTACATTTTACTTTTTGTTTTAATATGGGTAGATTTCTTGCCACAACATGAAACTTAGAACATGTTTAAAATGGAACATTTGTTTACGGAAATATCGATTTTGCAATAGGCTCCGCCCCACAATTGCAAAATCCATGTTTCCTTACAAAAATCATTTTAACCATGTTTTAAGTTTCTTGTTATGAAAAGATGGCTGTGTATATTAAGGAAAAAAGGCAAAATATAACCCCCGCCCACCCACCCTGTCTCGATTCGGATGATCTTTTTATTCATCGTAAGCCGAGGGGCGGAACTTAATTATAAAATCCTTATTTTTCTACGAGAAACGACCATGTGAAATATGTTCCTAAGTAATCATGTTATACAAAGAAAACCAAAGGGAAACTCCAAATTTATCAATTTAAACATGTTTTAAGTATCTTATTGTGAAAAAATAAATACATATATTAAGAAAAAAAAAGGCCCGCTTACGCTGGGGAAGTAAAAATAATATAATATCATACGAGCAATTAATAATTCGAGAATAAATGTTCAAATTCAACTTGTGTGAAAATAAATCGGATGATGACATTAATTTAACTGATAATAATTTGCAAGGTTCTTTCTCTCAAAACGTTTTTTCGTAAAAGGTAACATCAGTTTTACTAAAAACTGCAACGGTCGCATGTTTTGATTGAACTGCAAGTCTACCGAACCACTCCTTGAATCGTAGCTCACTCTCTCCTGATTTGAATCGTTGCTTACAACCTCCTGATTTGAATCGTCCGACCGCGGTGTCTTTTTGCTTTGGATGTACTTGTACAAACAGACCATCAAAGTTCCAAAAATAATAGCCGCTGAAATACTCGCTATGACTAACCCATCGAGTAGGATATTTTTTTTGAATTCGTTCCAGATTTCTTGCGAAAATACCTTGGATGGGTCTTGGGTAGCAAAGACTGGTTGTAGCCTGAAAATAAAACGAAACCGACTGTAGATGGCGCTATCAACAGAGTGAGTACTTTAAGATAACGCTGATAAGAAAAATAAAAAGAGTGTGGCTCTGACGCACTTATGGTAGGTACTTACGTGATAAATGTAGCAACTAACACGTTCATCTCATTTTTAACAAGTTTGACGACGTAGATTGTTGCAGATGTTCTGCAAAACATACAATTAACCACTGGTAAATAAGATGCACTGAAAATGCCAACCTTATCACTTTATCTAAATCGAATCGGTAGATAAGAAACTCTTGACCAATAATGTTCATTGTTCTTATTCATTCTTTATTATAAATAAATAAACTTTTTAAGAACACTTTTTATTGTTATCAAAAACATCCTATTTCAAGAAATACGCAACTGGAGTAGTCTCAGGCGCCGGAGTAGTTGGATTCAAGAACCCATCAATTAAATCATTAATAGACTGGATGGCATCGTCCAGTCCACCTCGAACAATACCTTCCAGGAGATCCAAAATCACACTCTTCAGAAGCGTGGTGGCGAGGTCCGCCAGCAAATCCAACAACCAGTCAATCAGAGCGTCTCCATGGAACTCCACATGAATATTTCTGCAAAAAAATACATCAAAATTGTCAAACTTTGGTTATTGTCGTACAAACCCTGCATGAACAATGTTGAATTCGTCCAAAGAAAGAACTAGAGCCACAGGGTCGAAACCAATCTTGACTTCCACAGCCAAATCCGTGACTTTACCATCGATGTATCCCGCAGGACCCAAACCCATAATTTTGGCGCTGTAGTCATAAGTGAACTGAAGATCATTAAAAGCTATAGGAAGAGTGACCTCCAGGAATTTGACATCAGTATCGTAGGTAACAATAACGTCTCCGCCACGATGGATGGTGGAAACGTCGGAAAGCCAACCGTTGGTCAAATCCAGCTCACCATGGTACGTAATAATCAAAGTCTAAAATTGAACAGTTCATACAAAAAATAACCTCGTGAGTTTTCTCTAACATAGCTAAACTCTTCATGAATGTCGGGCATCTCCAAAGGGTCCAAACCAGTCTCGACCATCATGGCCCGAAGGTTGGCGAAAATTTGGTCCGCATAGTCATTTAAATTGGCTTCGGTGCCCCGCGGGCTGAAATATTAATCGCAACAATAAAAAAACTACCACGTTTGTCTTTTCTTACTTGGGGTGAACTTTCGGTTGAAACTCGCCGGCCTCGAACAGGTTCTGCAGGGTCTTGATTTTGTCGGCATCTAGCTTGTACTTCGTCGGATTCCTGGTGATTTCAAGCTCGTCCACTACCACCTTGAAGTCGTGTTTTCGGACGTGGTAAGCACACACCGACGCGACCAGGCAAATTGCGAAAATCAGTCGTCTCATCTTGAAGTACGTGATTGACGAAGAAATCGCCAGAGTGACCGCTTTTATACCTTTGATACATTTTTATCACTTGATAACTCGACACCTGAACAGAAAGGGATCTTTGTTTCGTAACGAAGTGGCGAAAACAATTTCGGAATTATTTTAGTTATCTTAGGAGATAAGAGTTTTTTTTTTGGTGTAGATTTAACTGATTTTGGAAAATTGTGGACCTGGGGGTGCTTATGTAACGTTGGAGTTTTTTTTTTTATATATTTAGAGATGACTTCTTTCTGCAAGGTTATTACGAGTTGATAAAGTTGTTTACAGATAAATAATGAAGTGGCTTTTGAGAAAAATAGCTGCTAAAGACCTTGGTGGGCCCCATTTTTCGCACCTGTGTCTTTTTGATTGACAATTTATATGTGGAGTGCAAGATCATAGATTTTTTTTCTTTTGGCTGTTGATTGGACTTTCATAAATAATATTTAACTTAAGTTTTTTGTTGTGAAAAGAAGACTACGATATTAAGAAAATCAACGCAAAATTTAAGCCCCGCCCACCCACCCAGTTCTAAATTATGATTTGTATAGTTTATAGTATTGTAAATTGGGGTTTTCCCGTCAAATTAAATTAAATTAAAAATTAAATTAAATATTTCATTTGTTTTCAAGTCGAGAGGAGGAGCATAACGACAGAATTCATATTTCCCTACAAACATTTACCATTTTGAACAAGTTTTAAGTTTTTTGTTGTGAAAAGAAGACTACGATATTAAGAAAATCAAGGCAACATGCAAGCCCCGCCCACCCACCCGGGTCTAAATTGTGATGAATATTTCATTCGTTTTCAAGTCGAGGAGAGGAACATAATGACAGAATTCATATTTCTTTACATAAATTTACTATTTTGAATAAGTTTTAAGTTTTTTGTTATGAAAAGAAGACTACGATGTTAAGAAAATCAAGGCAAAATGCAAGCCCCGCCCACCCGCCCGGATCTAAATTGTGATGAATATTTCATTCGTTTTCAAGTCAAGGCGAGGAGCATAACGACAGAATTCATATTTCCCGACAAAAATTTACCATTTGGAACAAGTTTTAAGTTTTTTGGTGTGAAAAGAAGACTGCGATATTAAGAAAAACAAGACAAAATGCAAGCCCCGCCCACCCTCCCTATCTCAATCGTAACGAGGGTTTTTATTTGTCGTGAACTGGGGCGGAGCTTATTTGCAAAATCCTTATTTTTCTACAAGAAATTATCATGTGAAACAAGTTCTTAATTAACTGTGTTGTTCAAGGAAACTACATGTGTTAAGTAAAAACGAAAGCCAAAGGTTAAGCCCCACCTAGGGCCGTCCAGATGTAAATTGTGATGAATATTTTATTCGTTTTCAGACCGAGGGGAGGAGCATAATGTCAGAATCCATACTTCCATACCAAAATTGACCATTTTGAACAAGTTTTTGCATTTTGCCTTGTTTTTCTTAATATTCGTAGTATTCTTTTCACAACAAAAAAACTTAAAATTTGTTCAAATTGCCAAATTTTTGTAGACAAATATGGATTTTGCAATTATGCTCCGCCCCTCTGTCTGACAACGAATGAAAAAAATCATCAGAATTGAGATGAGGGTTCTTTTCCCAACAGACAACTGAAATCATGTTTAATTCGTGAAGTTTTGTACGAGTAGAGAAGTATGAATTTTGCAAATAAGCTCCGCCTTTAGAAAAGAAGACAACGATATTGAGAAAATCAAGGCAAAATGCAAGCCCCGCCCACCCGCCCGGGTCTAAATTGTGATGAATATTTCATTCGTTTTCAAGTCGAGGGGAGGAGCATAATGACAGAATTCATATTTACCCACAGAAATTTACCATTTTGAATAAGTTTTAAGTTTTTTGTTGTGAAAAGAAGACTACGATATTAAGAAAATCAAGGCAAAATGCAAGCCCCGCCTACCCGCCCGGGTATAATTTGTGATGAATATTTCATTCGTTTTCAAGTCGAGGGGACGAGCATAATGACAGAATTCATATTTCCATACAGAAATTGATCATTTTGAACCAGTTTTTGCATATTGCCTTGTTTTTTTTATTATTCGTAGTCTTCTTTTTACAATAAAAAAAACTAAAAATTTGTTCAAATTGGCAATTGCAATTACGCTCCGTCCCTCTGTCTGACAACGAATGAAAAAATCATCAGAATTGAGATGAGGGTGGGTGGGCGGGGCTTATACATATATATTTTTTTTTAAATATACTTAGGCTTCTTTTCCCAACAAAAAACTGAAATCATATTTAAAATGGTATAATCGTGAATTTTTTTAGAGAAGTATGGATTTTGCAAATAAGCTCCGCCCTTAGGTCCATTTTCTAAGAGAATTCTCGAAAATCTTCGTCTGGGACCATAAACAGGTTTTTTTTTTAATCAGCAGCTCAATTTTTTGACGATTTTTAAGGAGAAAATTTTGAATTTTTCAATGACTTTTAAATTGAACTTTTTGACTCTTTGAAAATCATTAAAGACATCAGTGCCGAAACTAGCTATAGGCCGAGTAGGCCTTTGCCTAGGGGCGCCAACGACAAGGGGCGCCAAATTCGTCCAAAAATTATGATGTATAGTTTCGGAAATTTCATTGTACCCTATAAAATTTTATTGACAATAACGAGACGCACAGTAGTACAATAGCAAGAGATATGTACAACTTAAGTTGTCGCGTGCCGGTAATCCCCAGATGTTAGAAACCAGAATAATCTAGGTCCGAGCTGGGACCATCGTTACTTATGAACGGAAATGACCATTATTTTATGAGTACAACTACTTGCCAAATATTCTCAGACAAGTTCGAGGGGACTGGTGTGAGCCATAAATATTTCTTACCATTGTACTACTGTCCGTCTCGTTATCGTCAATAAAATTTTATAGGGTAGAATGAAATTTCCAAAACTATACCAAGAATTATGTCACATTAATTTTTTTTTATTTTGAACGGAAGCTCAGAAACATGTAACCGGTGCGACAGGTTTTTTAATCTTGATTTTATTTTGAACTTATATAATATTTATAGATTTATACATATGTATTATATACCTATATGTATAATCTCGAATTTTTTTCTTTTTTTTATATTTTATTATAGTATCTGTTTTGCACACTTATTAAAAAATATAAATAAAACTGTTCTGTAAAATTGCATTTTTATGTGTAGGGGAGGGGCGCCTAACGCAAGGTTCGCCTATACCTAAATATTCTTTGGTTTCGGCACTGAAAGACATATTCTTGACGATTTCGACTTGTAAAAGTTACATTCGATTTCATTTCTTCAAAAGTTCCAACAGTTTTTCCAGAATCGATAAAATGAAAAGATTCAGTTTTCGAGATACTTCAAAAATTCTATTTTCAAACTGAATTTTTGAAAATATTGATCCGAGACCATCAATATGTTACGTTATTCGAATCAAGTCATCGAAAAATATTTTCCAGAATTTTTTGACGATTTTTAGGTCAATTTTCAAAAATTTCAATTTTTCAATGACCGTTGAAATGAATTTTTGACAGTTTATGGAGAATCCTTGAAAATGACCTAAAAGAACTATTTTTGAAAATTTCGCCTGCAGAAGTTATTTTTGCCTTCATTTCTTCGAAAATTTCATCAACTTTCTCGGACTAATCTAATTTAAAAAAAATGTCAATATTACGCCTTTATTATCAAATAAAACCCTTCTTGTTCCAGAGGTTCTAATTAGTAAGTGGAGCAAATTTGAAGATCTGTCACTTTTTAGAAAATTTTCAAAATCTACTTTATAAAATTTAAAAAAAAGTCAAAATTCTCAAATCAAGCTGCAATTTTGGTCCGAGGTCAATTCAACGCTGCTGAATTGATTTTGGCAATCAGTTGTTAATTTATAACGGTTCAAAAAAATTCGCCTTCACTTCATTTTATTCGCGTGCTCAAAAATTTTTTTTCTATTTTGAAAATTCATAACTTGAGAACCACTGGCGCTACGCAGCTGAAACGAAAATTGTTCGATTCCTTGGACTTCTCCGAGTTGGAAAAAAATTGACTATTTTGAACAAGTTTTTGCATTTTTCCTTGTTTTTCTTGATATCCGTAGTCTTCTTTTCACAACAAAAAAACTTAAAACTTGTTCAAATTGGTAAATTTTTGTGGACAAATATGGATTTTGCAATTACTCTTCGCCCCTCTGTCTGACAACGAATAAAAAAATCATCCGAATTGAGATGAGGGTGGGTGGGCGGGGGTTATATTTTATTTTTTTTATAATATACTTAGTCTTCTTTTCCCAACAGAAAACTGAAATCATGTTTAAAATGGCATAATCGTGAATTTTTGTGAGAAGTATGGATTTTGCAAATAAGCTCCGCCCTTAGGTTCATTTTCTAAGAAAATTCTCGAAAATCTTCGTCTGGGACCATAAACAGGCTATATTTTTTAATCAGCAGCTCAATTTTTTGACGATTTTTAAGGAGAAAATTTTGAATTTTTCAATGACTTTTGAATTGAACTTTTTGACTCTTTGAAAATTAATTAAAGACAATAATTCTTGAAGATTTCGACTTGTAAAAGTTACATTCGATTTCATTTCTTCAAAAGTTCCAGCAATTTTTCCAGAATCGATAAAATGAAAAGATTCAGTTTTCGAGATACTTCAAAAATTCTATTTTCAAACTGAATTTTTGAAAATATTGATCCGAGACCATCAATATGTTACGTTATTCGAATCAAGTCATCGAAAAATATTTTCCAGAATTTTTTGACGATTTTTAGGTCAATTTTCAAAAATTTCAATTTTTCAATGACCGTTGAAGTGAATTTTTGACAGTTTATGGAGAATCCTTGAAAATGACCTAAAAGAACTATTTTTGAAAATTTCGCCTGCAGAAGTTATTTTTGCCTTCATTTCTTCGAAAATTTCATCAACTTTCTCGGACTACTCTGATTTAAAAAAAATATCAATATTACGCCTTTATTATCAAATAAAACCCTTCTTGTTCCGGAGGTTCTAATTAGTAAGTGGAGCAAATTTGCAGATCTGTCCCTTTTG